GACCTTGCGCTTGCCAGGCAGGCACTGTGCCACTGAGCTAAATCCCCAGCCCCTTAGATATTCTTTCTTGATCACTTAAAATGATCAAGACAAATATAATCTAATGACTATGAGATACTTTACTCTGTAAATTAGGCACTTTAACAATTTGTAGTTTTCTGATCTAAGTAGTTTTTAATTTCCCATGGGTCTATTTTCAAAGTGTGTTTTTTTAAAAAAGTAAAACAGTGGGGGAGGAGGGATGATGTTCCTGATTATAATTCAGAAGTAATGAGAAAGCAAGAAAGCAAAATGAAAGAAAGATGAAAAGAGGAAATGGGAAAGAAAGGCAAATAAAGCAGAATTTTATGACAACACTCATTCATCAACAGTGAGAAGCAGGGAAATTCGTTAACTTTGACAATGACAAACGATGAATCTTGTAATTATTCTGCTGCTAAGAAATCCAACATTTTAAAGTTTGGTTTCTTTTTGAACAAGAGCAAACTAAGCTAACAATATAATGCAATAAATGAAGGAATTGGTGGATTTTATTCAAAAGGGATCATTCTTCCATTCTGCACAACTCTATGGTAGCTTAAACTGGTTTATTTAACTATCAATGGACTCTGTGCTTGAAAGACTCAATAATATTACATTATCCTACTGAGACTGTCAAATAACGATATGAAGGCCCCTATTCAAAACACTGAATATTCATTTATCTTGCAAAAACAAAGCAACCAGTGTGTCCCTTTCTATACCAGGATGAGTTCACTAAAAAGATATTCACTCGACTGAATTCAATGTCAATCACCTTGATAAACTGGGAAAAAGCTCAACTTCATTTAACTATATTCTTCAAATGTAGTTAGCCCATTCAGTAAGATGTTTCCCATGGTCAAAATCCATGAGAAATTTGAAGAAAGATGGTAGAAGAAAACAGAGCAAAGCAAACATTAATTTAATATAACAAAATAAAAATGGACATCAGAGCCCAACAGGCCTCGATCAGAATGTTCCCTCTGCCACTAGCTACTTGTTGAGAAGTTATTCATCACTCTGACCTGACTCTATTACGAGAACATATATAGGGCCCGCACAGTGCAGAGAAGGTTCTCCCTCAGTGCTAGCGCAGGCACCGCCCTTCATTCACAAGCCGTTTGCAGCAAGCATGGTTTTACCAGGCA